CCAGAAGGCTGGCGGTTCAAACCCACCAGCCACTCCTCGGAAGGAAGATGGGGCAATCTACTTCCGTAGTGATACTACCTCGGAAACCCAAGGAGAGGTCGCTATGAGTCGGGTCCAACTCGACGGCACATAACAACAACAACAATGTCCTCCAAGTTCATCCATATTATGCAGCGTTTTGCAGACTCTACAATATTCTTTAGTGCTGCATAGCATTCTATTATGTGTATGTACCTTAGTTTGGTCATCCACTCTTCCACCATAAATCTTAGAAATAAGTCCTGTTCTGGTTACCTTGTGCCACTTTGACAAGAATATACCACAAATGGGATGGCCTTGACAAATAGGAGTTTATTCCCTTACAGTTTGGGAGGCTAGAAGTCCAACTCCAAAGCGCCAGGCTCTAGGGGCTAGGTGAAAGCCCCTCAGGCTTGGGCTTCAGCTCTGCCTCCAGCTCCTGGCCCACTAAAGCTAGAGGCTTTTATTCACTCAGTTGGTGGCTGTTGAGGCTGCCAAGCCCAAGGTTGACAAATAAAAAGGCACAGTCCTGATGTTACCAAACCACACAGGAGGCCACTAATTCAAGTCCATTGTAAGTCCCTAGATAGGCAGAGCTTGGCAGGCTGCTGAACAACGACATGGCACATGCAGGGTCCAAGCATGCCATAAGCTGGAGACCATTTCCAGAGCTGTTTCTTATATACAGGAAGCAGACCACATACCCAAGGTGCTCCAGTAGATTCAACCATGAAGTTAATTACCAATCTCACCATGGGGAATAACTACATTCAGCTCCCCAGCCACTAACCAAGCCCAGCCAAGTTGACATACAAACATAACCACCACAAGTCCCTTGCCAGATACGTAATTATTGGCAAATATTGATTTGTTGCTGTCATTTTTGTTATATGCTTTTTCGTGGTGTCGATTTCTTTGTTCTATATAATTTTCTGTACAGATACCATTTTGTTTACGAATCACGTTATCACTTCCTTCATTGCTATTGTTTTAGCATTGGCTGAATATTTATGCTGGTCCTCTTTTTTATTTTGCTGTAAAGGTTTATCGTTTTTTTTGAGGTTACCCTCTGATTTATAGTTTTTTCCCCAAGTTTAGAACAGTCTGTTCTATCTTGTAGTTGTTTTGACTTTCCT